CCAACATCCTGTTCTGGCTTCTGTATCTGCGCTTGGGTGTGAACACACACATACACACACACACACACACACACACACACACACATGCGCGCGCACACACACAAGCTTGAGAGGATCACCTTCTTCTGTATCTGCACTTGGGTGTGAACACACACATACACACACACACACACACACACACAACACACACACACACACACACACACACACACACACGCACACACACACAAGCTTGAGAGGATCACCTAAAAAAAAACCAGGTTAGCAGTCCCAATATCTGGGCTTGTTTCTATGAGCTGACAATTCAGTAAAAGCATATGTATGAAATCCTTCGAGAACTTTCAAGGCCTCATTAAATACATTTGCCTAGAATGCTCACATTGCTGTCAACCTCTCAACCCGTTGGAGCAATTTAATAGCGGAGGACCATTTATTCGGCTTATTGAAAATTAATTACTTTTATGACCCAGGTTTGCAAGGGGGAAATGAAGAGGTAATGGAGAGGCAGCAGGAGAGGGAAAACCTGTCCACCAAGTTCTTTTCCCTTCTCTTCATATTTTCTAAAGAGCCTTGCACTGCAGAACAGAGAAAGCTGAAAAACAAAAAACTTCATTTTGAATCTTACTGTGTTTTGCAATGTATTGTTTTCATAACATTTTGGGAAGTCCCCAACTTTTGTTATTTGACTGAATAAAATTAAGTCATTAAATGTGAAATATAGAAATGCTTCGGCCTGGGCAATAAATTAGGGAGATGGATGAATGGAAGTCTACCATTAAAAGCCTTTCCATTTCCATTGGCCAGATGTTTGCTTAAGAAACTGGTACTGTTTATGTTTCCTTAGTCTTTTTATGAGAAAGATGTGTGATTTTGCTTAATGAAGCGACAGACTAGAAATGAACACTGTGTTTAGTGTGGCAGCAGAGGGTGAGGGGCAAATCTGAAGAATGTTGCTTTGCAGCTACTCTGGGAGTCTTCTCACTACATTTTAAACAGTGGAACAAATCTGTAATTTGTGTGTGTGTGTGTGTGTGTGTGTGTGTGTGTGTATACACGTGGAGGTCAGAGGTTGAATGCTGGGTTGTTTTCATTTGCTCTTCACCTTATTTTTTGAGACTGTCTTTCACCAAACCTGGAACTCACCAACTCAGGTAGACTCCAGCAAGCTCCAAGGATCTGACTGTATCTACCCTCTATCCCAGGGCCAAGTTACAGATATGTGGGTGCTGGGTAGCCACACTTAGGTTTCCACTTTACTGACTTTACTAACTGAGCCATCTCCCCAGACCCTAAAGGTAACCTTTACTGCAATGTATATTTCACCTTAGTTTGCCTTAATGGTATAGAAATGGTATTGCTTTGTTTGACAACATCCACAAGCTCTTGTAAACACCGATTTAGAGAGTATGCACTGTGGACTGACGAAATCTGCAGTCATTCAGAAAATTCACTTAGTTCTTTCATTTCTCAATCCTTTTCTTCCTGAGAAAATGACTAAAGAGATGGGCGGAGCATATGTGCATCTTTCTGTATCCATTTCTGTCTCCATTTTTTACCTACCGGAAGCAGAAATTATGAAAATGTAGTGAGCTCTAGGGAGGTGATGCTTCATGCCAATGAATGCTCAAAGATCTGGCAGACATACATATTGTTTAAAGCTCACAACATTAGCTAAAAGATATTTTTAAAAAAGGCATACTGGGGAGGACAGCCCTAATTTTTTCTTAAGAATTTTTCATTTTCAAATGCTACTTCTATTGTCATAATAAATGTACATATATATATTACATATATAATATATATGTCAATCACATCTTGGGGGACTTAACTAAATTTGTCCTGATATCTGTAGACGTCACCCAAATTCAATTTTCTTTCCTGCTATTTTTCAATAAGTAATTAGAAAAGAATCCCCCCTGAGTTGACTGAGTCTGCTATCGTAGGCTGTTTGCTGTCAACTCAAAGTTCTCAATTAGCTCCAGTGTTGTTATAATTACTGGACGTGTTTTCAAACAACTCCCAGTTAATAACTGTTGGGATGGAGAGTCATTTTCTCACTATAGACTAGACTGTGCACGCTCCTGCTTGCTGTGATGTTTTGACAATGATTCATTAACCAATAATAAGCCCCAATTGGAACCATTAGGCATCGTTGCCTTTGCTAGGCTTACCTTTTATTTTGTTCCTCAATGTTGTCTTTTCTTGACTTAGTTTCTGGATAACTCCCAAGAGACTCCTTACTATACAAAACAATATCAAGAAGACAGCTGCCATTAAATTCAGCTACTTGTAAAAAAGCTCCCTGTAAGAGGATGCTCTTGTTGAAAACTCAAGATGGAAAAGCACTGAAAAAAGGAGGCTGTAATAAGAGAGAATTCATGGCTTAAAGGGCCTTTATCTGTACCAGCTCACAGAGACCAGGCACAATTACCCTATGCCTTTCAACGGTTCATATAACATCTGGTCACATGGAAGCCCTCTTTGCCTCATGAAGTCACTCAAGTTTTCTTTTTCCTTCCTTTCTTCCTTTCTCCTTTTCTTTCTCTCTCATTTTTTTGCGACTTTCTTTCCTGTAACCAACTGTCTTGTCTTGCCCAAAACTTAAGGGTTTCCTAGGTTGTAGTATTTTCAGGTTATTATTATTATTGTTATTATTATTGTGTATGTATGTGCATTTGTGTTCAAGTGTGTACATGCCACAGCGTATATGCTGTCAGAGGACGTTTTGGAATTAGTTCTCCCCTCCCACTGTGGGCTCCAGGGATCCAACTCAGGTTGTCAGGATTGTGTGGCAAACGCTTTTACCTGCTGAGCCATCTCACCGCCCACCCTGTTTTCTAGTAGGCAGATTTTGGTGCAGTGACAGTGGTATAGTGGTAATCATGGCCACCTTCTAACAGGCAGATTCTTTTTTGTTTTTTGAGTATCTGAAACATAAATACAATTAAAATTGATCACTTAGGGAAGGTGCTGGGTATGGTGGTGCACGCCCTTAATCCCAGCACTCAGGAGGCAGAGGCAGGCAGATATCTGTGAAATGCAGTTCAGCCTGGTCTACACAGAGTTCCAGGCTAGTTGGGGATACAGGGAGACACTGTCTCAAACAAACAAAAACAAACAACAAAAAAGGAGGAAAAAGTCTTTGTCAATCACTATTTGTACAGAATCCTCCCTATATCGGAATCCTGGTAACAACACTCTGTTGGATTTTAGTAATATGAGATGGCTTGAAGGGGGGGCGGACAGGAAGGGTCATTTGGCTATATTCTGTGACTTCAACCCCAAACTTTCAGCAGCTATTTTATTTCTTTAGCTAAAGTCATTTTTGATGTCACTTGGCTCCATGTAAGGAATTTGGATGTCCTAGGGTATAATGTGATGGATGGTAAAACCTGGCCTTGAGGATCTTGTGAAATGGTGTTTGATGCCCAACTTACTTCACCCACTTCATCTAAGCAAGTACCTGAAGGTGTGTGAAGTATTGGAAGGGTTTAATAATGTGTAGTCTACCAGAAAAGCTCTGATAGGAAGCCTTGAAATGTTCTGGAAAAATAAAAACTGTTTCTATATTGGTAAGCATCTAAGTTTGGGATTTTTATGTATCTACTACAACTTTACCAATGTGGTTAATGATATTGCCAGATTGCACATGTTGAAAAAATGTTCAGGTATACAGTAACAGATATTTCTACAAAGTTGAACTTAACAGACATTCAGGCCCCAAACTGAAATTCATAATGACATCTCCTTCCCTACTCAGAGAAGCAAGAAGTAAGGATGTCTCTCCACAAATAATCGAAGGTTCCAGACCATCAACTCTGACTGCTTTCAGCTTCAAGAGGAAGTTATGCCTAGGTAGCTTCTGTATCTGTCATCACATGGGTAGCATGCATACAACATAAAGTGAATTTCCAAACCAATCCTTATACCAGGTGTATAAACAGATTTACCCTAAATTATTAAAATGATGTGCTTCTGAATATTCTCATCTAGGAAGGCAAAGCACAGGAAAGTGGTAAAATTTAAATCCTCCAGTGTTTTGTTTTTTTTTTTTTTTTGAGACAGGCTCATGCTATTTAGCTCAGGTTGACCTCCAACTTGAAACTTCCTTGCCTCCCAAGTGATACACTGTTATCCCTGGTTCTACAATAATTATTTTAAGACTGGGAATTCTGGGCTGGGCATGGTGGTACCCAACACTCAGGAGGCAGAGGCAGGCAGATCTTGGTGAGTTCTAGATCATCCTGGTGTATATAAGTTCCAAGCCAGCCAGGGCTACATAGTGAGACCCTGTCTTAAAAAAACAACAAGCCAGGTGTGGTGGCACATGCCTTTAATCCCAGCACTTGGCAGAGGCAGGCGGATCTCTATGAGTTCAAGGCCAGCCTGGTCTACATAGTGAGACCCTGTCTCAAAAAGACCAAAAAACAAAACAAAACAAAACAAACAAACAAACAAAAAACCAACAACAAAAAAACCCCAAACTGGGAACAGAGAAAAAATAAGAATACTTATGATATTTACATTTATAGTAAACTCTGAAATGCTTTTGTTTATCTAACATCACTCTGTGTGAAAGCACACATTTGATAATATTTTAGGAATCTGTGATGGGGAGATGCCCATTGAATTTATATACTTAGAGCTAGTGGCTCTGACAATTGTCTCTCAGGGTTATCAGAGTCAGGTATTTCTGGACTTGGAGGCTTTGTAATTAAAGCCTCAGTGCTCTGTTAGAGTGAGTTTAGGATTTTCTTTTTTTGTACTTTAATAGGCACATCTGGATGTATCTTCAGTTTTTCAACTTTAAATATATGTCTTTTGCTAAACTTGGAGGTTGGAGTGGTATTTTGGATATGTTACCTCAGTGACTAGTCCACTTGAACTCATTTTAGGAGAAAGTGAAATATTTCTATAGTCTGTCTCAGGGGTTAGAGGAGCACATGGAGATGAACTTGAAAGAGGGGCAGAGGTAGTTTATGAAATCAAAAAATCCAATATAAAACCAAAGACTTTATTGTCCAATTATCTATCGGCCCAAATTCTAATCGATTTAAAAATAAATAATTTTTTTCCTAGAAGGTTGAACACAACACCACCATTTGATAGGGTTCCATATTTAATCCTGCACGCAGTAGACATGGACCTCAGCTAGATGACACTGCTACGTCAGCACTTGGTGCAGACAAGATGGTCGAGTTTCTTTTCTGCATGTCTGTCCTCAGAGCATTTTTGGTCTCCTACCAAATGTTGTCTAGACAATGTGGAGGACTTTGAAAGCAGCCACGGCCTGCTTTTCCCTTTCGTGTCTGCTCTGCAGTATTTCCAGCAGTGAAATTTCAGGCAAACTTCTTTCTTTTTCACCATATGTTGGGTTTTTGCTTTTCTTTGCTGCTTGATCAGTTGGATTTGGTGGTTTGGGTTTGGGGATGGTCTTAGCGTATTCCAAAGCCTAAAAGCATAAAGACAACATTTTATTTAAAATGGGAAGTGGGTCTTAGGAAATATTTATAATACAATTGGAGATGATTACTATAATATGGGCAGAAATGGAGAGCAAAAGAACAATGAAAATAACACAATACAATGCATACTTTAAATAAATTAGCCACTAAATGATGCATTGGGAGGGGAGCACTGAGGATGATGCACACAGCGGTTGTGCCCTTTGAATGTTTTTTTTTATGACACAGAATTTCTTCCAAGTGTTCATGAATAGATTTATCATGTGTTTGATCTACTGAGTTTCTGAAAGTCCTATTAAAACCAAACTTCTATTAGGGAAATATTACAGACCTTGCTACCAGAAAAGGATTTGTAGTTTGAAACTGAAGCCATTATATAGCAGCTGATATAAAACTAATTTTGTTTATTATATCATTTTGTTCCTTGAAAGAGAAGTTGGATTTATTTCTTTAGTATATCTATAGAAATTAGATGCTGAAAAAAATGTAGTTGTTCAGTGATGTCAATTCTTAAAGGTATGATAAAATGAGGCTCAGCAGCAGAGACTTTGCCTAGCCTGGTTCCATTCTGAAAGAGAGAAAGAGACAGAGACAGACACACACACACACACACACACACAGAGAGAGAGAGAGAGAGAGAGAGAGAGAGAGAGAGAGAGAGAGAGAGAGACAGAGACAGAGAGAGACAGAGAGACAGAGAGACAGACAGAGAAGTGGGGTTGGGTAGGGAGAGTGTGTGCTTACATCAGTATCTGTGGATAACGCGTAATTGCAGGAATGGACTATTGCTAAAACATCTTCTATATTCCAAACAGGTAGCAAATCTTTTCAAATCAAGTGGTAACAAGTTTCCCTTTAATTCTGATTGAAATGGGACTGCCGGGCTGAGTACTTCTTACCTTCTGCCGAGGGAGAGCTGATGTACTTTCAGTTTTTGCTGTTTGCGGTTTGGGCAGAACGGACAGTGTCTTCATGTTGTATTCTTTAACTTGCCTTGCGTATTCCTTTTGCTGTATTAATTTTTGCATCTGTTCAGGGACACAGCGTGTGATTAGTCACACGTCCTGCTCATCCTCTCTGCCCTCTACAGTTTTAGTGGGGTGGTGGCACAGGAGAAACGGGATCACCTGTGTTGGCGCAGCAGCGAACTGGTTAATATTTCTCTCTAAGAATCCTCTGTGAGTTGGATAGGAACAGCAGCAGCATGGCCAATGTTCCCTTAACAGCGACTAAATCCTATTCAGCCCCTTCTTTGTTGCATTTACCCAATTTATTTTCATTTTTGCTTCCAACTTTGAACTATACTCTCTTTTTATGCTTGAGTGCAACTGCAGTTAAAACACATTAAATGAAGATCTCCTTTCACTAGAGAAAAGAGAATAAAGTGGATGCACTTCTTAGGGGTTGGGGAACTCATGCCCTAAGTGTCTTCTCTGTAGCTACTTCAAAGTTATCAAGACAACTCAATCAGGAGAGACCAACAACCACATAGCACATGCATCCCTTTCCTGGTTCACATACCCCACTCTTCCAGGCAGGCTTTCAAATCTAACTGAAAGGCAGTGCATAAAACAACACTGGGTAAGTATATTTTTATCTTTACAGTAGAAAGAGTATCTGGGTCTCTATTGTGCTACACAGCTGTTTCTGAAGGGTCTCCATTCAGTGCAAGACATCTTCACTGAGGCTAGATACTGTGGAGCATCTTTATCCAGTGTTGCTAAAGGACAGAGGGACCGGCCAAGGCTGAAAAACTGTATGCCCATCTCACTTACTTTGTCTCTGACGGACTCCAAGTCGGGTCCCAGGCCTCCAAGCTTCACGTCTCTTTTCTGATAACCTTTCAGCTTGGAACTCTAAAAATACAACCACAGAAATAGCTTCTTTTAAGGATCTGTGACCCTCCAAGTAGTCATCAGAGCATAAAGGAAGAAGGGAAATGAAGACCAAGTCCACATGGAAGGTCAGAGATGAACACATACAATCACGCCATTTTAGTGGTAGTTATTGACATTGGTACTTGTGGCTGGTTAGTTAACATGTTTTGATTTTTCCGCTTCTGCAACAAAAGAAGTTGGAATTCTGAAGATTATAAAAAATTTCAAGGTAGTAATTTGTTGTTTTGTTAGTGTTATTAACCACAGTATATATGTTATAGCTCTACCACTGGAACTGTGACTATGATATCCAGTCTGAAGCAGTTTGCAAAACCAAATGAATTCTGTGCAAGCGGCAATCTAAACGCACGCAACAAGTGCACAGCTTCAGAAGGCACCTGTCCAGGGCGGGGGACTGTTGCCTTTTAGAGACGCCTCAGAAGAGAAGCAAATTCATCATGACTTGAGAATTTGCTATTCATCAATGGAATAAAAGATAAATTTAAAGATTAAAAATATCTGTAACTCATTGATAATACTCAAAAGAAAGTATTTAGGAGTTTTGACAAGATCCACTAGAAACTAATTTTGTTCCATTAGTGTGATTTTGGAAATTTTGAAGAGCACCTAGAGTTTGACATTATAACTCTTAGAATTACAATCTTTTTTTGGGTAGGGGTCTTTTTGAGGAAGGATCTCCCTGTAGCCCCAGCTGGCCTAGAACTTGCTATGTACGCCAAGCTGGTCTCCATCTCACAGAGATCTGCCTGCCTCTGCCTCCATAGTGCTGGGACTAAAGGCGTGTGTCACCACACCCAGCTAGTGTTACACTCTTAAGAAGACAAGAGTGAAAAAGTGAGGCAATTTGACTTTTACATTGTGATATAATAGGACCAGAGCAGGCAGGAAATCTCCTAATGCTCTGCTGGTCAGTGACACACTAGATCGAGATATGCCCCAAACTGTAGCTTTCAACATCAAAACTGAAGTTTAGTCCTGCTGCTTCTCTTTGTGGGCAACCAAATTCTTTTTATCTTTCAACTCCTTAATCAATTTGGTTTCCTTTTATGGGAAGATTGGGACAATACCAAAAGAGATGGTTTGGATGGTACTAAGTATCTTAGGGCACAGCTAAGATGGTGCTTGGGCTGGAGGGAAAAATCTACGCATTAAAGAAGTAGCCTACATTTCATCTGTGCGTGGTGCTGCATGCCTGTGTGCCAGGGTCAGGTATAGTGCTCTATCCTCCCCCTTTTTTAAAAATATAAATAAGAGTCTTGCTGGATTGTAAAAATAAATCTTTTTCAGTATAACAACCAAGACCTGGATCATGACTACTGCACAAAATTGAATAGCTTAAAAACAAAATCCATATAGTAAAACATAACTAATAATGGTAATAAATAATAAATGTGGAAAATATGTGAGGAGCAGTGAATCATAACTCTTTAAGTAAAAAGAACTCCTATAAATAAATAGTGGAAAACCTCATACACAAATCTAAATACAGAAAATGAAAAGTTTCAATAAGAAAATATTTTTTTAATTACAAGATGGTCAAAAATCAAAACTAAATAGTTATAAGCAGTGTGATAAAATGTCAAGAAGTATTATTATGAAATCTTTATACTGGTGTAAATTGATACCAACATGTAGACAAAAAATTGACAACATGTTTGTACGGGTAGACAAAACTTGCAAGAATGTAACTCAAATTGTTAAAAATTGGGGGGGAATAGAATTTCCAACAGTTTTCAGAATAATTTATATCTATATCTATATGTGTGTATTTTAAAGCTTCTGTAAATTATGTTAAGTCTTAAGATAGGCCATATATATATTAAAGATTTTTTTAAAATTTTTATGTGTATATATGTGTATCTGTGTGGAGGTATACATACGTGGGTGTGGGTGCCAGCAGAGGTCAGAAGAGGGTGCCTGATCACTTAGAACTGAAGTTATATGTACACAGCTGTGAGTTACATGACATAGGTACATGACAGGAACCGAATTTGGATCCTCTGCAAGAGCAGCTAGTGCTCTTAACCATTGAGCCATTTCTCCAGGCCCAATGGGACATATCTCCATAGGCCATGTATCTAAGAAACCCTTTTCTGAGATACAGTTTGGCAAAGATCACCCAGATAAACAAAAACTTTTTATCACATTAGTTATAATTACTGCATATAACTCCTTTATCCTAACAATGAATTGTGTACACATTGTACCAACTGTAAAAACACTGTTTCATAAGCATATGAATAAAATTTGGAAGAAAAACTTAAAAAAAAACAAAAAACACTGTTTCCTACTCCCAGTGGCCTAACGGCTTTTCCATCACTGCCTCCCACTGTAGAAGCCTCAAAGTCAAATACAGTTGTCCCTTGTTATCCATGGGCATTTGGTTCCAGGATGCCCTGTGGCGACTGCAGTCTTCAGATGCTCAAGTCCCTTATGCAGTATTTACATATAACCTAAGCACACTCTCCATGTGCTCCAGTGATCGCTGGATTATTTATAATACCTAATATGATGCAAATGCTATCTAGAGAGTTGTTCTATTGTGTTGTCAAATGCATAATGACAAGGAAAAGTCTGTACATGTTCAGTACAGATGCATTGTTTCTAGAACCCATGGATACAGATTAACTCTACTTTCCAGCCTCTTATTCAGCCTGACACCTCTCTCTCTCTCTCTCTCTCTCTCTCTCTCTCTCTCTCTCTCTCCCTTTCCCCTCCCCCTCCTTCTCACTCTTTCTGTCTCTCTTTCCCTCAAAAGTGGATAGGGCTCCTGGAGGTACGACAATCTTGCAGGCAGGAAAGAAATGAGAGAATCATAAAATTCTGGGTTCTGATGTTTTGAACTGTGGAAGCCTGGTGTTAGCAACTACCTACCTGTGGGTTAATTGTATGGAAAATGAATGGGCCCACAGGTTTGGGTTTGCCGATCAGTCTGTACCTGCTGTGGAAAGGAGTGTTTCTAATACTCTAGTGCCTAAGTGTCCCAATTCAAAAGGAATAAAACAACGTGGCACAGCGGCAACACTTCTGTGCTTTAAGGGTTAAAGTTTCTGTAAACAGAATTTTCCTCATTAACAAAGCTAAGCATTTATGGACAAAACTCCCTCAGTGCATCAAATTCTAAAAGTGAGAGAAGATAAAATCCTATTTTAAGGGAATCTTTGGATTAAAATCATTAAAAATAACATTAAGGTAAATAAAGGAAATACTGTTCATTAAAGGACATTTAAAAATCATAAATCTTTAGGAAAACAGTTACTTCTGAGGAAAAAAAAATGTCTGCTTGTGTCTGTTTCCGGTCCATTATACGTCTGTTCATATCTTTTTTTTCTGGCTGGGTCTGGCTATGTAGCCCAGGCTGACCTTGAACTTGCAATTCTTTAGGCTCATGTCCCAAGTTTTTGATTAGAGGCATGTGCCACCAAGACTGACTTATTCACACATTTATTTTTGAATTATTACTATGTTTAATTAAAAAATCTAATTTATGTATGTACTATTGTCTGTGTATAATGTGTGTATGTGGGCATGTGTGTGCCCTTATAACACATCTGTGGAAGTCACAAACAATTTTGTGGAGTCAGTTCGCCCCTTCCACCTTTATTTGGGTTCTTGGGATGGAACTCAGGTTGCTAGGCTTGACTGCAAGCCCTTTAACTATTGGGCCATCTCACTGACCCCTTGCTTTTTACTTTTATAAAAGTGCAGCTATTGAGATCTAAGGAGATTCAAGGCCATGAATTAGCATTTCCACTAGCAATGGAGCAATAAGATGGCTCTTTGCTCAGACCTTGGTTACACTGGGTATTATCACATTTTAAAAACTCTAATAATTTTTAGTAGTCAAGTGAACTCAGAAAAACCTATACATAAGACTACAAGTTTGTTCTCACGTGTGCCATCTGTGTCACGGTTCTAAAATCACTAAATTACTCTCTTTCTGCCAGAGTAAAACAATAAGGAAAGGAAAAGAAAAAAAAAAATAGCCCACTCATACTCAAGCCATAAATCCAGTTTGTCCAAAGACAATGAGAAAGACATGATCGGTGTCCAGAAACCTCATCCTTAGGTGGGAGCAGCTTAGTTTCTAATCATCCCACTGCTGTGCCGAGGACACTTGGGAAGCACACAGCATTGTTCACTGACACTCCACTACAAGCCTCACTACCACCTTCAGTAAACATCTTGGTTAGCATAGAAAAGCAAAGCCCAGGGTCTAGCCTTCTGTACAGACTTGGAGGGAGAGCATGTGGCCCAATGGGCTATCACCATGGCTGGTTGCTGATCCCTTCACAGGATGAGCCGCCTGCAGCATTTCCCAGGGGAGTGGTGGCTCCTAGGGGAGTTTATTCTGGGTGACTGGCAGTGAAAATCCTGGATTTGCTCAAGTTTGGCGTAAGTAATGTGGAACTGCTCAGCACTGTGATTCTGTTTGATCTCTCTCCATCTAAAGCCTTCACAGCATTATTGAGATGTAATTCGCATACCACAAAATTCACCCAGTTAAAGCTGCTCGATTCAGTGGTTTTTAGGATATTCACTGAGTTGTGCAAGTATCACCCAATCCAATTGTACATTTTCATCACTCTGTAAAGAAACTCTGGCACCCATTAGTGCTCACTCCCCCACCCTGGTACCCACACCTCAGCCCTAGGCAACCACTAAGCTTCTTCAAGAGTCTTTTATAGTAAAATAATCTTCTGATTTTTATTTTGATTTATCTCTCCTGGACTTTTAAAAGACTAAAAGGCCATAGCAGCACAATGCCAAAATGATGAAGAAGATGATGATGATAATGATACCAGTTATAACAAATCAACATCGACAATTGTTAAGTCCTTGAACACAGGGCTCAAACACAGGAAAATATAGGCATGCTCTCTGTAAGCCCCTGAAGGCACTTACTGCTTGTCTGTGAAAGATCCATACAGAGTCAGGTTTGATGCTTACACCTGTAATCCTAGCATTTGGTAGGTTGAGTCAGGAGGTTCACCATGAGTTAGAGGTCAGTTTGAGTTACAGAGTGAGGAAGATCTTATCTCAGAAAAATCAACCCCTCCAAAAAAAACCCATATACAAGCTGCCATGCACTGACCTTTGCCCCCCTAAGCAGACAGGAAGGTTTCTACCAGTAATTACAATTTCTAGGTGAATGATTTTAATGGTGAACTTGGAAGATAATGTCTGAATTGGAATGGCGTTTCAGTTCTGCTATGTTGTGCCTTGCTATGTGTGTATGGGGGGGGCACTGCAGAGCTATTCTCCAGAACATTTCTTAGATGTATAAAAGTGAGAAAGTTACTGAGAAAAACTGGACAAAAAACAATGATCAGATAGTGGTGAGCAGTGAGTGAAGGAAATTTGCTCTCTGGTCCCTAAACTTAATCCAAATAAACCTCTTCTTAGGGGCAGCCAAGCAGCAGCCCTCAGCTTGTTACAACAAACATGAGTTAATTATAGAAGCTCAACCATCAGCTGTCAGGAAACTCTTTACGGAGTCTTTATTTTGTGGTGGCTTGTGACATCATAAGTATATTTTGATAATCAATCTGGAATCCCTTGTGCTGTGTTAATTTCTTACTGTCTGACTCCTGGACTCAATGGCATGGATAATGCCTTGTGTTCTTAAATCAGCCTCAACTGCACTGCCAGAAGAGGAAGGGGCCCAGGCTTATTATTTTTACAAATCCTTAGATTTTTACTGTGCTTTGGGACCATTCCCTTGGAAACCATGAGATTTGATGTGGTCAGCAAACGGGCATGATCTGGATAATGACTCCCTCTGTCTGGTGCCCCAGCTACCTGCTGTCCTATACAAATCGCTCAGATCTAAGTCACTTTAGCTTCTGGAACAGCTTAAAGGACAAAGAGTGCGTCTGTGTATTTGTTGGATGGAGATGGAAGGTATTGGGCTGAGAAAATGGATGTGTATAGATTGTAAAAACAAAACAAAACAAAAACTAACAGAAGCAGACAAGGAAGAGGGGAAATTCGTGCTCTTCCCATCCTTAGATTTCCGGTGACACACACTTTCACCAGGGCACTTTGCTCTAGCTTTTCTCAGTAAAGCACAAATTCAATTTACTAAGAGCAGGAGGGCTTGATGTGTGTTCTTTACTAAGGAATAAGCTAAGTTTTAATGTATCATGTTATTTATTATTGTAGACATGTCACAACCATGTCTACAAAAAGAAAGAGTAATTCAGTTCATCTATATGAGGAACAAGGGGCTTGAGTAAGTCAGTGACTCATTCAAGTCACAGAACAGTAGGTGACGGAGCTGGGATGTGAACTTAGGAATGGCCGAGTCTGCCACTTCCTGCCAGTCCTGCAGCCAGAGAACTGAGTTCAAAAGCTGTCATTTTCAACAATAATCCAAGCTGGCAAAAAACGAATAGGGAAATTCTCTTCTGAGAGGGTGTGTTAGGCTATTTTTTTTTAGGCCATGGTGATGTATAAATGCCGAGTGAACAGACTTCTTCACCTTGATTAGAAGTGTTGGTTGAGAAACTCTGACCACATTTCCCCATGGTAATCATGAAGCCCACCTTGGAGAAATATTTGAAAATGGTACCAACAGTACCTTAGAGCCTAACTACTGTGTGGGAAGAGACCCGTGGGTGCAAGACATTCAGGCCTCCTATTTGTAGTGAAACTGGGTGGACCTCTTTCAGCTGCCAGCTGTTAGGAGTGGTTTCCCTGCCTGGGCAGGCAGGGACTGGGGACTCAGCAAAACAAAGCTATGAGGGAGTGGAGTGAGGACCCAAGCTCTAAGAGCTCTCTGGTAGGTGAGGGTGTGTGAGGGAGCTGGAGTGAGCAGATGGGAGCCTCAGGGAGGGCCAAGCCATTTTTCAGGCCGAGCTATCCATCTATATCTTTTCTGTGGTGTGGTTGCTCTGTACTCCTGTCCAGCTGCCCCCTCTTCTTTGAGTATATCCCTTCTTGTCTTCTCTGAAGGACCCGCCTGAAGGTCCACTGACTTCATATTCCTGTAACTTCCAGTTATCTCTTGCACCTACCCTGCATGCACAGCCAGAGCGATCATTCTAAGACATAGGTTTGAGTATGTTTAAGACTCCTCAGTGGTCTACTTCTGACCGCAGAGGAATGTCCTTAATTTGAATGAAAATCATGATCCCCTAGACTTGCCTCTCCAACCATATCTCACTGTATCCCATGCCTCCCAGTTTCAGTCACTGCACGTGAAGTGCTTGTCCATATCCAGCATGCACCGTGCTCATCTCTAGCTGGTGTCCTTCCTGCAAGACATTTCTAGTTGTTCTGTGCTGGCTCTGAAACCCCTCTGAGATTTGGCTCAGCATTATCTCCTGATTGTGCCTAATCCTGGGAGGTCAGGCTATGTGCCCTCCTTTGTGCTAAGGCTAAGACTGGAAGGTTGAGCACGTTGGGGGAGATCAGCAGGTCTTGGAGCTGGGCATGAAGCAGCCAGGCTGACCAGGTAAGAGGAAGGTCAGGGCTCTGGGACAAACAAGAAAGCCCGTCTTTGCAAGCTCTGGCCACATCCCATGGAGCCGCTGCCTGAGAAACACATGCAAGACACCCAATGCCCCTTTGCCAATTAAACTCTTCACCTTTATGAGTAGTTAGACCTCTATACATGTTCTAGCACCTAATGCATTGAACTGTGGGTAAGTATGGCTTCTAAGAAAGCATCCCCCTATTTCAGGTAAGGAACCACTTGGATTACCTGATGGGGAGAGACCAGGGAAGGAAACTGATAGACCAAAGTTTATAAACCAAAATATCAGAGGGGTGTGTGTGCGTGTGTGTCTGTGTGTGTGTGTGTGTGTGCGGCTCTCCGTTCCTCAGGGTGTGCTGTGTGGGTGCTCTCCGTTCCGCAGGGTGTGCTGTGTGGTGCTCTCCATTCTGCAGGGTGTGCTGTGTGGTGCTCTCCGTTCCGCAGGGTGTGCTGTGTGGGTGCTCTCCATTCTGCAGGGTGTGCTGTGTGGTGCTCTCCGTTCCGCAGGGTGTGCTGTGTGGGTGCTCTCCATTCTGCAGGGTGTGCTGTGTGGTGCTCTCCGTTCCGCAGGGTGTGCTGTGTGGGTGCTCTCCATTCTGCAGGGTGTGCTGTGTGGTGCTCTCCATTCTGCAGGGTGTGCTGTCCCCTTGTACTTTCTCCCTTGTTGAAAGTAAACTTTGATACTGCTGTCTTCATCTGTGCCTTAGTGTAAATTCTCCTTTGGTGCACAAGAGCCAAGAGGCTTCCATGGTTGTGAGGGGATGTGGGAGGAGGCCTCTCCCATTCACAATACTCTGTGCTCCCTAGACTCTTCTTTTACTCATGTAACTCAAACTTCTGGGGAAAAGACTCAACTCTTTCACCTTTATATTGCTGTATGTATCAATTCCTAGTAAGAATTCAACCATTACATAATGGAATTGAACCAAAGAGTGACCTACCTAATCTCCACAAACCAAAAAGAATTAGGTAGTTATGGGGCTGGAAAGATGGCTCAGCAGTTAAGAACACTGACTGTTCTTGCAGAAGACCCGGGTTTGAATCACAGCACCCACATGACAGCTAACAACTGTCCATAACTCGAGTCCCAGGGGATCCAACAGCCTCTTCTGTCCTCCGTGGGCATTGCACCATAGAGGTGCACTTACCTACATGCAGCACTCATACACATAAAATAAAAATAATAAATAAAAATATTAAAAAAAAGAATTAGGTAGTTCTGATAAATGATAAACTCTTCCTAGAGAAAATTGTAAAAGCAAGCTCTAGTTTCTGTCTGGTGATTTTGTATCTCTCTCTCTCTCTCTCTCTCTCTCTCTCTCTCTCTCTCTCCCTCTCCAGCATGCACACACATGCTTACCAAGGCCCTCATCACAGCTGAGTTGATGTGATAGCATAACTTCAGAACTGTAAGCTAAATAGGCTTTTTTCCTTATAAAGTAGCCTGCCTCTGGTATTTTCTTATAGTAATCAAAATCAAACTTACATTATTTGACTCTGGATACAAGTGATCTTTACTGAGAAATAAAAAAAATTATTGCTTTTTACTTGGCATAAAGAGATTTAATTGCACAAAGGTATTGGTCATGATGACTGTTACTATAGACAAAGACAGTAAAGATTGGTTGCTGTTCTGGAATACAGTTCAGTCATTGACTGGCCTGGGTATTTTGCTGCAGAAGCTGAGATGAGGCTGGGACCAAGGGGAATCCTCAGCTGTTGAGGGGCCAGTGGTGGACTACAGGGAGGTACCCTTGGCCACAGGGCTTCCACTCTCTCAGCCCTATTCTGGTGATAAAAACAGGATTATTATAGTCAGGTATGGTGCCACATGCCTTTAATCCCAGCACTTGGGAGGCAGAGGCAGGCAGATCTCTGTGAGTTTAAGGCCAGCCTGGTCTACATAGCAAGTTTCAGGCCAGCTGGGGCTACAGGGAGACTCTGTCTCAAAAAGATCAAAACCCCCCTCAAAAACCAAAAACTACCCCCACCCCACAAACCAGGATTATTATTGCCTGTCTGCCTTGAAGACTCTTGAATATTTCCCTGAGATGACCCAAAAAGGAGGTGGCATCCTTGGCCACAGAAACCTGTAGAAAGACATGGAGGGAAAATCATGGAGTAGACTGGACTGGAGGAGAGATGTTCCTTGGACTGTGGGCCATCTTGTGGGAGAAGCTAAGTAACAACCAACACTATTCCAGGACCCTAGTTTAAGGGAACAAAAGTCCAGGCCCATCTGCGTCACCAAAACTAAAAAGTGACTTGGCCACTTGGCAACACAGTGATTTTATTACCTTTGTGCCACTACTTTTCCTGTGCTTTCTCCCTCTTTCCAGCTGAAGCAGATAGCTTTCAGAATTGCTACGGCTCATTTTGATTCGGTGTTGGTGGCCTCTCTCTGAACTGAGTTGAGATTCACTTTCCACCCTGGACAGGATAGGCGGGAGTGTGATGCTGGAAGCGGACCCCTCGCTGGGCTGCACCTCTGCCAGCTGCACCAGGGCTTGCTGGTGCTGTTCCATTATTTGGGCGAGCCGGGAATCTGGAGAAGCAGTAACAGGCTCACTGTCTGAGGAAGAATGGAATTTCCTTTGGAGAAAACACAGATTTGTTAATGGAACTCAAATCCATGAGACCTCCAGTATACAAGTCTCAAGAACAGTCTACTTGATGTCTCTCTTATTCCCCAAATTAAATCAAATCAGCGATCTGTAGCTTAATCTTCTCATGAGTACACTAATTTTTCATCTTCAAATTCTCGTTTTCGTTGGGGCATCCTAACTATTTTTTATTTTATTTTATTGATGTGTATGTGTGTGTATCTTTGTAAGCACACGAGTGTGGGTGTCCAAGGCAGCCAGAAGAGGGCATCAAATCCTCTGGAACTGGAGTTCCAGGTGGTTGTGAGCTGCCATTTGTGGGAGCCAGGGGCTGAACCTAGACCTTTTGCAAGAGCAGTGAGCACTCTTAACCACTGAACTCTCTCTCCAGCTCTTAACAAGAAAGTCTTGTTTAGGACTTTCACTTAATGCATACAGAATAGGAAAAACAGAACAAAAACAAACAAAAAACCCAAACCCACCATTTTGAAAACTCAAAGACCTTCCCATTACAAAACACTTAGAACTTGGATTAAACTAAACAATCATCCTTTAAATATGTTAACTCTTCAGGGATGAAATAAAATGGAATGAAAGCCAAAGCACGTTTCAGGTTAGCTACAGCTATGGTTTTCTTTGTGGGAGTTTTGGGTAAAGGATTTGAGTTTTAAGAATCAATATTGGGGACTGAAGATGTGGCTCAGTGGTTAAGAACACTAGCTGCTTCTGCAGAGGACCAGGGTTCAGTTCCCAGCACCTATGTGGTGGCTAACAACTGTCTGTAACTCCAGTTCCAGGAGATTCGATGCCCTCTTCTGACCTCTGCAGGCTTTGCCCAACACTGGTGCACTTAACTTATATGCAGACAGTACACTCAGACACATAAAATTTTCTTTAAAAAGATCTAATACTGGTGTGTTGGAGATGTAGCTTAGTTGGTAGAGGGCTTGCCTAGCATGCGCAAAGTCCTGGATTCAATCCCTAGCACCATTATGTACTAGGTGTGTTGGCACACACTTGTAATCGCTATATTCGGGTACAGCAGAAAGATCAGGAAGAGTTCAAGGTCATCCTTGACCAGGTAGTCAGTTTGAGGCCAGCCTGGAATATGTGAGATCCTATCCCCTCCTCAAAATGTTAACTTTGATATAGGATCTGTTAGGCCTTGTCCCTGTGTGAAGTAAGGAATCAGAATCAGAACTAAGATTCTTAATTAAAGTCTATTACTTTTTTTTTTTTTTTTTTTTTTTTTTTTTTTGTCTTTTTGAGACTGGGTCTTCCCACAGCTCCAGCTGGCCTGGAACTCACTATGTAGAACAGGCTCTTATAGAGATATGCCTGCCTTTACCTCTCGAATGCTGGGAGTAAAGACATGGACCACCATGCCTGGCTAAAAACTGTTACTCTTGAAGGGTTACTTGGTTAAAAAAAAATAGTATTCTACATAAAAGCCTATTCATCAGACCAAAGAAACAACACTGTCTTGACCTGGGTTTGAATGGGGGAGGAAAATCCGTAAATTTCCATGGGTCAATATTTAAGATTCAAATTTAATTTACTCAAATAATCATGGGAATCCAACACCAAGAAGTGAGATCAAGGCCAGTCTGGTCTACATAGTGAGCGCCAGGCCAGATGGACTGGCTACAGGGAGACCCTGTCTCAAACACACACACACACATACACACACACACACACACACACACACACACAGTAATATTCTATATTTTCTTAGAATTTTCTTACTGTTTTTGGCAGTAAAATTGGTATTGTTCTAGAACTTATTTGCATGTATATTGTAGGATGGAGCTGAAAAATAGACATGTTGATGTTTTACAGAACTAGTGTTTTCACCATGCAAAGAAGGAGATACAGACGCAGATGGGGAATTGTGCAGAACCCAATGACTTTGGATCGGAGGCATCTGTGTGACCTGGTTAGTAGGAGACACAGGCACCATGTAGACAGAGGTATTTTCTAGCTGCAATTTCTTTTTTCTTTTATGTGTATGCTTGTATGCCTGCATGTAGGTAAGTGCACCTGTGTCATGCAATGCCTGCAGAGGTCAGAAGAAGCTGTTGGATCCCCTAGGACTGGAGTTACGGACAGTTGTTAGCTGCCATGTGAGTGCTGGGATTTGAACCCGGGTCTTCTGCAAGAACCACAGGTGTTCTTAACCACTGAGCCAGCTCTCCAGCCCCACTAGCTGTAATTTCTGACTGGCTCTAGATGCACTGACACTCCAGTGAAAATGAGCACGTATAACTCTCAACCATTGGTTCCTAAATTCCATCATCCACTAAAAGGAAACAAGGCTCACTGAAGACGTCACTGCATTCACATGTGTCCAGAAAACATCTAAGATGTAGTGCACATCTAAGGTGTAGTTTCAAATTATAATGGACAAGAAGAGGTGCTCGGAAATAATGAACAGTTAAACCAGAAGCTGGAGTGGGGACACTCAATAGTTTGATCTAGAATTTTTAAAATTGAAAAGACACAAAAAACAAGGGCGACACATGAGTGTCAATTGGATTCTGGATCAGAGAAATAAAAACAGCTATAAATTTAAATGTGTACTTATATTACATACTATTATTGAATTAATGTTTTCTTCGGTGATATAGATTGAAATATTTAAGGATAAAGTACTGTGAAGTCTAAACTACTATTCAGCAGATAGATAACAGAGACAGATGATAGACAGAGTGTATATACATATATATATATGAGACAGATGATACATAGATGATAGAGACAGATGATAGATGGACAGTTAGATAGAAACAGGTGATATATAGCAAATGTGGCCCAAGTTTAGCAACTAGTGGACCTAAATGTTTATTGTAGACTTCCTGCCCCACCTCTAAGTTTTTTTGTTTTTTTGTTTTTTTTTGTTTTTTGTTTTTTGGTCTTTTTGAGACAGGGTCTCCCTGTAACCCCAGCTATCCTGGAACTTACTATGTAGACCAGGCTGGCCTCGAACTCACAAAGATATGCCTGCCTCTGCCTCCCAAGTGCTGGGATTAAAGGCATGCACTACCATGCCTGGCATACCTCTAAGTTTTTACTAGATGTGAAGAGTTTCAAAAACAGAAGGTAGGGCTGGAGAGGTGGCTCAGGGGTTAAGATCATTTGCTGTTCTTTCAGAGAACCCCAGTTCGATTCTCAGCACCCATATGATGGCTCTGTTGCCCCCTTCCAGCCTTCTCAGGCACTGTACAGATGCCAGTGTACGTACCAGAAATCAAAACACTTGTACAAATAAATATCTTGGTGTGGTTGCACATGCCTTTAATCACAGCACTTGGGAGGCAGAGGCAGGCAGATCTTTGTGAGATCAAGGCCAGCCTGGTCTACATATTGAGTTCCAGTCCAGCTGGGGCTACAAGGAGACCCTGTCTCAAAACAAAACAAAACAAACCAACAACCAAAACAAAAACACAACTGAAGGTACTAGATACAAACAAGACAGTAAGTATGTAATTAAACTCCCAAATCCAAGTTAAAATGATATATTAGGAAATCTGAAAGACATATCCCACCAGAGCTAAGGAAAGCAAAAGGGTTTGGGAGAGTAAAAAGTTTGGAAGCAGAAAACACAAGAGGAACGGTCTCTGTTTTAGCAGACTCCGGAAAGCAGGGCTGTAGGAACGCAGTTGGAAAAGCTGGAGCAACACAATCTTCCTACGAGATCCTTGAAAGACTCTAAACCATGAATGCTGTTGCTAGTGAAAATCTATGTCAGAATTATTTGAATAAGAATTGGTTGAAAGTCTGTACAAAAACCCAGCACAGAACTGTGGAAACAAGCAGCAGGTCTCAATTTTAGTTGAAGAATTATTGGCAACTGATTACTGCTGGGTGAGGAAGAGCTGATCTTCTTGAAAGGAGGGACTCTAGATAGGCTGACTAGATCCTAGTGGATGAACTAGCACTGAGGGACATCTGGGAGACACTATAC